AAACTTCAAACAGAGCCCCATCCCTATGCCCCTAGGGGAGTCATACCCACCAATTTTACAAAACTGAGACCCCTTGGCCCAAGGATGCTCCAGACAAAGGATAAAATCCCTTAATCTTGATGGTTTAGGAGGGATTTTAAAGGTTTCACCTCTATTTCTCCTATTTGGCCCTGCCATTCTGCCCCCTGGGAGACCACACCCACTGCTTATACAAAATTTATTCCCTTTGGCCCAAAGATGATCCAGACTAAATTAGGATAAAATCCCTTAATCCCTATGGTAGAAGAAGGATTTTAAAGGATTTACCTCTATTTCCCCTATTGGGCCCCGCCTCTCTGCCTCCAGAGGGGTTAGACAGACTGTTTATACAAAATTGGTTCCCCTTCACCCAAGGATGCGTCATACCAAATTTGGACAAAATCCTGTCATTCGTACAGAAGAAGGTATTTGAAGAATTTGCTATGTTTCCCCTATTGGGCCCCTCCCTTCTGCCCCCTGGAGGGCCACACTCGCTGTTTATACAAATTGAGTCCCTTTTGCCCAAAGATGATCCAGATTAAATTAGGATAAAATCCCTTAATCCCTATGGTAGAAGGATTATAAAGGTTTTACTTCTATTTCCCCTATTGGGCCCCACCCCCAGATCCCAGGAGGGCCAGACCCACTGTTTATACAAAATTGGTTCCCCTTCACACAAGGATGCTTCCCACCAAATATGGAACAAATCTTTTCATTCCTACAGAAGAAGAAGGATTTTAAAGAATAATTTGCTATGTTTCCCCTATTGAGCCACGCCCCTCAGGCCTCTGGCTGCCACACCCAACGGTTTATACAAAATTGGTTCCCCTTCACCCAAGGATGCTTCAGACCAAATATGGAAAAAATCCTTTCATTCCTACAGAAGAAGAAGGATTTTAAAGAATTTGCTATATTTCCCCTATTGGGCCCCGCCCCTCAGCCCCAAGGGGGGCCAGACCCACCGTTTATACAAAATTAAGTCCCCTTGGCCCAAGGATGCACCAGACTAAATCAGGATAAAATCCCTTAATCACTACGGTAGGAGAAGGATTTTAAAGGTTTTACCTCTATTTCCCCTATTGGGCTCCGCCCCTCTGCCCCCAGGGGGGCCACACCCACCGTTTATACAAAATTGAGTCTCTTTGGCCTAAGGATGCTCCAGACCAAATTTAGTCGAAATCTGCTTGGCTGTTCAGGACAAGTAGCGTTTCAAAGGAAAAGTTGACAGACGGACGACGGACGCTGCGGTATGGCATAAGCTAATAAAAACCTTGACCTCTGACCAAAATCTGATTGATATAACCTCACTATGGTGTAAATATAAACTAATATTATTTTAAAGATTGTTGAGATCATGTAAATTGTCCTGTTATTTACTTCAGAAGTTGTCAAATGTGAAGTTTTATCCTTAAAGGGTTTCAACCAAAATCTAATCTGATGTAGAACTCAAGTTTATACTATGGTGTAAACAAGGCAATCCATAGTCCTCCACCGATAATGATTTCTATATTTAGCGAACAGTACACTAATGTCAGGAAGCATAGGTCACAGTGAGGTCATATTGACCTACTTCTTGCACTCCGCTATCCAAAGATGTCCTTGTACATCAAATCTGGATATTCCAGGTGAAATAGTATAGATAGAAGATATGCCCCAGACAAACATTTTCAAAAGTAAAGGTCAAAGCTAAAGTCATAGGGCACAGTTACCTAATTCTTGCACTCTCTCTCCATCATCCCAAAATGACCTTGTACACAAAAGCTGGATTCTCCAAGTGAAATACTAGTATAGAAGCTATGTCCCAGACAAACATTTTAAAAAGTGAAGGTCAAAGCTCAAGTCATAGGTCACAGAGACCTTATTCTTTCACACTGCACTCAGTCACCCCAAGATGTCATTGTACACCAAATCTGTTTTTTCCAGGTAAAATAGTATAGAAGATGTGCCCCGCACAAACTTTTTCAAAAGTTACAGTCAAACGTCAACGTATAGGTCACAGTGATGTCATAGTGACCTTTTTCTTGCATTCTGCCATCCCAAGATGTCCTTGTACACTAAATCTGGTTACTCTAGGTGAAATAGTGTAAAAGATATATCCCGGACAAACTTCTCCGATGGAGTGCAAAGCTATAGAAAATGTTAGGATATCTTGTACACAAGGTGTTTTTTTACATATATACTACATGAATCAAAGTGGGGGTGACCGTATTCACCGTAATAAGTGCCAAGGGTGCTTAGATAAATTCTGCTTAAAGGGGAGCACTTAGAAGGATAAAAAGAATTGAGTTATGATAGAAAAAGTTGTGCAACTTCAACCGTTGATATCACATAAGAAGCATAACAGTGTGGCTGAAGGTTTGGAAATTAAATGTTTCATTCACTTCACAGGAAGTCCTGCCTTGATCACCAGACATAAATCTCTGCTTTAGAGTGTAAGTATTGTAAATCATTGATCGGGCCTGGTCACTTCCTCCCAAAAATGAAGGACGGGCACTAACTACTGTGAATATGGCAAGAGTAATATTCATGTTCAAAACTAAAATTACTGAGGCTGATATACTAACAACATTTGTGTATACACTCTATAATTTCATTTCCTCTTGAAAAGAAGGAGGGGCACCAATTATGGCGAATATGATAAGAGTAATATTCATGCTCAAAACTAAAATTACCGAGACTGATGTACGAACAACATTTGTGTATAAACTCCATAATTCAATTTCCTCTCGAAAAGAAGGAGGGGCACTAATTACGGTGAATATGGTAAGAGTAATATTCATGTTCAAAACTAAAATTACTGAGACTGATATACGAACAATATTTGTGTATACACTCCATAATTCAATTTCCTCTTGAAAAGAAGGAGGGGCACTAATTACGTTGAATATGGTAAGAGTAATATTCATGTTCAAAACCATAATTACTGAGGCTGATATACCAGTTGCAACAACATTTGAGTATACACTCTATAATTTCATTTCGTCTCGAAAAGAAGGAGGGGCACTAATTACAGTGAATATCGTAAGAGTAAATGTTTATTCATGTTCAAAACTAAAGTTAAGGAGGCAGATATACTGACAACAAACATGGTTTCGTATTGTATAATATTTATTTGTGTATACACGTTACATAAATGTGTCTCATGAACGTCATGAGACATAACGACAATATCTTGGTTAAACATGAACATACGACTTATTTGTCGAGACACCCTAGCTATCTACGTATCTAGTTACAACCAGAATATGACCCAACATACAACACAGATTACTTGGTCCTGCAAACTAACCTGTAGTTCCACAACACCAAAGACAGAGATGACAGAATTGTAATACAATATTTCAGCAGATTTAACTCATTCACCCCTGAAGATTCGTAATGAACTATTCCAACCTTTGAATTGGAAGAGTTCAAATGTCTTCAGGGGTGAATGAGTTAAAATATTAAAAATTTCTAACACTTGTTCATGGCATTCATGTTCATTAATCTACCGAAATGTACTACAAGTATAATATTATAACAATGTAGTTAAAATTTTTCAAAAGAAAAATTACAAGACTAGGTTTAGATTTTGTACAGGAAATGGAAAGACATCATGATGAGCATGTTCGGCTCCTCTTCAAAATCCAAGGATTTAGTTTATAGATATCTCCTCTGTATTCTTGGAATAATGTAATAAATTAATAATTAATTTCAGGTTCTTATATACCGCTTTATCACAACCTAGTTTGTAGGTTGTCTCAAAGCAGTTCACAAATTATTATCAGTGGTTATAGGGCCTTTGCAACCAGTTGTGGCAAATTCAAAAGCTCACTGTTAGCCAGCCATTTGATTGGTTTCTGACATAAAAAAAATGACCAAATTTAAAAGTTGATCCCAGCTATCCCTTGAAGATTACTGATGAGGCTGCTGTGCAATTCCTTTTTACCTTTATCAAAGGGAGGAAAAGCATGCAGAAATTTGTACAGTTATCGACTAGTCAACTTGTATTATCTGCAAGAGTGTACGCATACAGAGCCTTTGGTTATTCCATGGGTGTAGAGAATATAATGTAAATCAAGATTAGAACCCTTGGATTTTGAAGATGGGTCTAGCTTACCAAGTATCTGAATAGATAAAGACACCTACATGTGTGTAAAGTCTTCTGACATCACAAATCAACACGGAGACAATGATCACATTACACAGCTTGTCTATACATCTTAACTTTCTATAGTACATGTATAGACAACACATACAGCTCAATCATATTCTAAATTAATAAATAATTTGATAACCCACTGTCACTGATGGGACTCCATAACTCACTCATTCTTAAATAATTATATATCTATATATCACCATTAATGATTTTCTAATATCAAGTTCAGATTTGTTGTTTTGGCCGTAGAATCCAACAGATATTGCAAGCTTGCACCAAATTAAACAGATATTAAAACCAAGTAAATATCACAAGTCCTGTTTATTTTGTACAAATTTTGTTGTGGAGTGTTTTTGAAAATTGGTACCGTAAGAGTCAGCCAGATCAGGGCCAGTGTCTACTCTAATGGTTATATATCGGTAGTCCTTAATGAATGTCAGAAAAAGGACCCAGTTTTATTTGTGATTTCTCTGCTATCTTGAAATCCCGAGGAGAACACTGGTTTCCTTGATCTAACTTACAGCCATATCCTTCATGAACACAATTGAATGAAACAGAACTTCCCATTTCACATGTAACAAAACAAAAACTTTACCCACTCTTCCCTCACAAAAATCACAGTTTATACACAAACATATTCATTGAAAATGATATATAACCATCTCTCGGGCAAGAAAAAATATTTAAAAAAAAAAAAGTTTAATACAATGATGCATTTCCAACAACAGATCTCAAAAAGGAAATCTACTTAATTCACAGATTTTTTTATTATATTTGATTTATTTCCATTTGAAAAGAAAAAGATATTCAATTGTAGAAAAATTAATAAAAATGTGTTCTTTCCTGAATACATACATTTCAAAATATGGTCAAAGGATATTAATTTTTATATTTAGCAAAGTATTAAAACATGAACAACAAATAATGAACACTTTTCTGACTGATCTTTGTTAAAAGTATTCCATGTATACCCTCTTTCCCAATCGTTTATAATATGTTTTCTATTAAGCAAGTCAACTTGAAGTCAATATATACAGCTGTAATGCATTGCACAACAGACTAAGCATGGTTTATGATTTGTTGACATTCACTCAAAAACACAAAAGTATGATAAGACAAATGTTTGTTTCATTGAAGGATCCCTGTCCCTCGGCACCATGTTTTTTCCTTTATACGGTAATCTCCCCTTAAATTTCGTTTAGATGTAACTGCAGAAAAATTTGGGCAGAGCGCTTCCATGACAAGGTAGCTCAATCGGTAAGAGCGATAGTAGAACGGTCTCATTTCCAGGGTTCGAATCCCTGTCGAGCACCACTGCATTTTTACACTTGAAATGCTATTATTGATAATATTTTGTGTATTTATCTTTATTATTTCTAATAAAAATCCTGTCAGGTATGGTTTTCTTTTCAGAAATGATTTTATCCAAACTAAAGTCATGCTGGGGAAAAAAGGTTTCCAACAGGAAGTTACAGTTTTTGGCAGTGGTACAGGGATCCTTAAGTACGTCTGTATACAAAACAGGACTATATGGAATGTCATGCATGTCAATGGATTTCTCTTCTCAACCTAAATTCAAATACAACTTCTAAAAGTTGATATATCTTGAAATCATGATAATTAAAAAAAAATAAAAATACATTAGTAATATTTTCTTGAATGCGAATTGTTGGTAACTTTTATAACTAGCAAATCCCTGTTATTTAAGTCCTCGACATTTAAAAGGATATTTAATAACTTTTATCCCACTTATCAATATCCTTACCACTTGCTTGTTGTCAAAGCAAGAAATGTACCATATTCACACATTTTTGCCTGGGGCAGCTGTGTCTCAGTACCCTCGATAATACAAGTACAAGTACTCCACACTGTAAATATGCTATGTCCTCTCTACACGACTAGATAGATATAATATACCGTATTTTACTGATAAGCCCATGGGGATCTGCAATGAAAACATCAAGTATAGGGGGTGGGCTTATCAACAGGCATGGGCTTATCACCGGTTAAATGTGGTAGTGTTTTTTTAAATCCAATGTCTTCACGAATGTAAGTATATGTTTTCATCACATTAGGAAGCCTTCTAGGAAGTGTTCTAATTATCGCCTTTAATATATCGCTTCCTTATATATTTTGCGACTGTCAAAAATACACACAATTTCCCATCTAAATATTTAGTTTATTCTAAATTAATAAGAAATATTTCAAAAAACACATTCAAATTGATCATTCAAATTCCAAGATTACCACCTTATTGTTAACTCATTCACCCCTGAGGACGCATTTGAACTCTTCCAATACAAAGGTTGGAATAGTTCATTATGAAATTTCAGGGGTAATGAATTTAAAAACAACTTTTGGTTATCTTAGAATAAGAATTGCTTGTATCTAAGACCTAATTAAAAGACTTGTTTCTAGCGTAGCAGAGACTTCCGGCTTATTCACTCAGTTGGAAACATCTTTGCTTACAATTCAAATGTCATCAGGTCATGATCAGCTATCTTGTTTAGAAGATTGGTATATAGCTGTCTATTTTTGCCCGATGCCTCTGTGCCACACACTCCGCGATCCACACGATGTTTCTGTTTTCCTGTTCCTTCAGTTTTACGTAAGAGTAAAATGTACCCATTTGGAACTGTTGCATGAAGGAATTCTTCATCAGTTGTACCTAAAATGAAACAATTTTAAAAAACATTATTTGAAAATTATCTAAGAGATTTTTTTCTGATTTTTTTAAGTTTCTGTATGAGATTGGTTTCATCTTGAGAATCATAAAACATAGCACTAAAATTGTACATGTATATTTTTAGTACACCATGTCAAAACATTTGTTTCTGAATATAGTTAAGTAGATATGAAAGTGTTGAAAATGCAGTAATACCGCTCCTACATTTGTAAATTCGGTTTCAAGAATTTCCTGTTCTATTTCGTGTCTAAGAAAGCTGCATCAAACGACTATTACATGCAGTAGGTGTGATGAAGGTGTGATACATAGGTGTGACGACCTTGGTCACTTTTGTTCATCGCAATCCAAACGATTGAACCGGGTAAACCAGAGTTGTTTGTGTATGAAATAAGGTCAGACCCAGTAATTTGATGCTGTTTTCAGGTGAGTCTTGACAAAGCCTTATAATTACAAGGCCTGCATAAACATTTGTAAGTCCGCCAGGATTAATACCAAAAAAATATTATATTTAAAAACAGACGCACCGTTGGTTTCACATAAACAATCAGGTCCCTGTTCAATGAATGTATAGGTTTCTATATATTCTTTGAAATTAACTTCAGACTGCTCGAACTGACATTGCTTGAATGCCCTGTGTTCCTCAAACTCAAATTTAACTCGGACCACTCAAAACCTTAATGAGTGGTCGGAGTTAAATTATAGTTTGAGGAACACAGGGTATTCAGGCAAGGTCAGTTTGAGCAGTCTGAAGTTAATTTCGAAGAATATATAGAAACACCATCGTGACCAAAACATTATTCAAGTAATGTGAGTTTGGGTGAGTGGGGTTTCACAGTATCTATCATAACTATCAGGGAACATAGGGCTGCAGGATTAAGGGAGTTCAATACAAAATTCAGAAATTAGTAAGAATAAGAAATAAAACTGATATTCATTGCAAACATATATAAACCATATATATACTCTATACTGGGAAATTTTCGCCGCAGTTTAACTTCTGCCTTTTTTTGCCCACCGTAATGAGGGCACTTATATCACGACAAATAAGGACACAACATACCGTACTGTACATAGTTATAACCAAAGAAAGGGGAAATAAACACTAAAACAGATTCTACCAGTGAAAGGCGAAAATTTGACCAGGCAAACCAGCATACAGCATTACTTCAAAAGCTTGGAATCCCTCAAGTCTTGGCAACCCATTTTACGATTTTAGAGTTATCAACAAGACTAAGAGAATGACCAGAAGATTATATGTAAATAGTCTAACCTCGCGATCAAAGAATTTGTCCTCCAGTGTTTTGTCTCCTGGGTTGGTACCAGCTCCCTCAAACAACTCTTTATATTCCTAAAACACAAAAGACATAATAATATATTTTTTTTAATTCCTCAAACTGATGATTATGCAACTTATTGTGTGTTATGTTAACAAATATTTTCTTCTTCTTCAGATAATGTTCTATCTTAAATGTTTGATGTTAAATCTTCATCAATTGGTGTAAAAAGAGAAAAATGTTCAAATATCAATAAAACAACTTTTATAATCTTATATTCTTCGCTTGAATGCATTTTTTTTATTTACAATAAAAACAGGTTTTGGTTCAATTAAATCCCAAGCAAATAATTCATGATTCTGCAGTGCAACGTATATATATACACAAAATACATAAACTGAAAAAAAAAAAAATCAGGAAATATAATTTCCTTAAATAGTATTTCTTTAAACGTTACTCAGGGTATACATGAAATGGAAAGTAAAGTGTCCTTACACCATAGATGTCGGCAACAGCTCGTACTTGGTCGTAATCATCTGCCCTGCCGAGCTGAGACAGACCGTAGGGGTTCAGTTTACCACAGCGAGGATACAGCTTTGAACGGTCATCTTTCGTCAACTCGGTACCAAACGAGTTGATTGTGATGATGAAAGCACGACGGTCGGCCTCAAACTAAAATAAAACAAGTTTATTTTTTCACATTTTTGTCATTCAAAAAATTTTCATCAGAAATCTCGTTTGGAATATAGTTAATATGATAAGAAAATTATTTGCAAAGGACTATGTATGGTTTGGGCCTTTTTTGGCCCCCAAATCAATCAAAATTAAAAATCTGCAATATAACTTTCAAACGAATGTTTTTTTTTATTTTGAATACTTCCCCAGTACTATTATGCTGTTATTTAATTGGGTTTTCAATTTTGGCTGCCATGGTAACCAGGTCATATTTGCATAAATTATTGAAATTTGATCATTCAGTCAATTTTGACAGGTTTTCATCTAATTTTTCTCTTAGTTACCATAGAGCGCACTCTTGAACAAACTTTATATTTCTCCTAAAGATGTATTACAGATGCCTACACATTATCCTTTAATATTAAGCTTGTTCAAGCATGTGATCTATAGTTTCCAGGAGAAAAACTATGCAAAATATCACAATATTCACTGAATATTCAATTTTTTGTTACCATGGCAACAATGATTAGAAATATAAATATGTCTTTTCATAATAGATTTTGGGAAGTATTCGAAATTAAAGAAACAGTCATTTCAAAGTTCATTTAAAGGTTTTGAATTTTGGTGCATTTGGGGGCCAAAACAGGCCCAAACCATACATAGTCCTTTAAACAAAAATTCAAATAGATAGCCAATTTTTCAATGAATGAGTAAAACCAATCTAGAGAGAAGACCATGATCAGACATTTGTTATCAAAGGGTTTAGACAAAAGTCAACAAGATAGCCATTTGGAGGAAAACCACTCAAGGGAGACAACCACCATGTACCCTACGAAAGATAAAAAAACTTTTGAGAGATGTGTTTCTAATGAATCATAATCTGAATGGTGAACATATAGGTTCATTTTGAAACAGATTTTTATCACAAACTCTAGATGCGTTCAAAGAAAGACTGAACTATGAACATGGATCTATTTACTTAAATTCATCAAGATGCATTTGAATCAGTGATTTGTTAATACAAGAATGTACATGTTTAGTTCAATTATTTCTGTTGTTCCTTCCTGTGAAGAGTTTTACCTAATATAATAATGAAACATTCTGTCTTTCATTTCCTGTTGGCATCTCACAGGGAGGAGTACTCACCGAAAGCGCGTCACACATCACCTCGGCAGTTGCCCCGCCCAGCTCGCTACAGAAACTGTAGAAGTCCTCCAGGTATGCCTGAAGTGAATGAAAAAATAAATGTTAAGAGTAACACTTATAATGACAAGTGAAATCTTGTATTTATTGATGAAATTTAAATTGGGCAATCTAATAACCGTTTCAGTAATTTCCACAGGCATGTTGGCAAAATTGATTACAACTCAAATGGATTGATGTATTACTTTACTGCAATTCATATCCATATAATAATCTGGTTTTTTTTACACATTTTTTAATAATACAAACTTGATTCATGTTATTTACACTGATTTGTTCAGTTTAAACAAATTTTATTCGAATAATTCAAAAGGAATTTGTTAGACCTGTAATGTACATGTATAGGGAATGTACCTACAAGTTTTGTATTTTGGTTACAAAACTAGGCTTATTTGGATAAGGTTAAAGAGAGAGAAATCAAGGTCTTAAATTGGTTGCTGCTATGAAAATGTAGTTTTCTATTTCAGAAACAAGAGGCCCATAGGGCCTGTATCGCTCACCTGGATATCTAAGCAATCATGGCAGAATATTCTCCAAATGAGATCCAAGGGAATATGCCAGACCCCAAGGCCAATCCTTGTAGCATATATATCTGTATTCAATTTTTCATGCCCAGCAATTTTATGTATGGTTATGGGGTGGGGATCTCAACTGTTTCCAAGCTGTGACTGAGAAACTATATCTAGGTCCCTACGGTTGTGGCCAGACCCTAGGATCAATTCTAATATCATGACTGCATTTGTCTCTTTTTGCCCAGCATTTGTATATATAGTTTTGGGGTGGGGATTTCAACCGTTTCAAAGTTATGACCCAGGGGTTAAGTCTGCAAGGGTGGGGCTGTACCCAAGGCCATCCTGGAAGCATATGTGCATTCATCTCTTTGTAATCGGCAATTGTCTAAATGGTTATAGGGTGGGGATCTCAACTGTTTTCAAGCTGTGATTAAGAAACTATGTCCCTAGGGGTTCGGTCAGACCCCGGGGTCTATTCTAATATTGTGACTGCATTCGCCTCTGTATGCCCAGCATTTGTATATATAGTTTTTGGGTGGGGATCTCAGCCGTTTTAAAGTATGGCCCAAGGACTATGTTTCCAAGGGTGGGGCCAGACCCTAGGGCCAACCTGGAAGCAAATGTGCATTCTTCTATTTATACTCAGCAATTGTATATGTGGTTATATAGTGGGGATCTCAACCATTTCTAGGCAATAAACTTTTTTTGGCCCCACCCCTTAGCCCGGGGGGTCAGCCCCACCATTTGTACAATTTTGAATCCCTTCCTCCCATGAATGCTTCCGACCAAATATGATAGATATCCAGTGCATAGTTCTACAGAAGAAGTCGTTTATAGCAATCTAGCCAAATTGCCCCCTTTTGGCCCCGCCCTCAGCCCCCTGGGGGATCAGCCACACCATTTGTACAATTTTGAATCCCCACCACCTAGGGATGCTTCCCGTCTAATACGGCTGATATCCATCACTTAGTTCCAGAGAAGTTGCTTAAAGCAATATAGCCAAATACCCCTTTTTGGCCCCGCCCCTCAACCCATGGGGGGGTCAGCCACACCATTTGTACAATTTTGAATCCCCACCACCTAGGGATGCTTCCAGTCTAATATGGTTGATATCCATCACTTAGTTCCAGGAAGAAGTCGCTTTAAAGCAATATAGCCAAATAACCCTTTTTGGCCCCGCCCCTCAGCCCCCTGGGGGGTCAGCCCCCCCATTTGTACAATTTTTAATCCCTGCATCCCATGAATGCTTCCAACCAAATATGATCGATATCCATGAAATAGTTCTACAGAAGAAGTCGTTTATAGCAATCTAGCCAAATTGCCCCCTTTTTGCCCCGCCCTCAGCCCCCTGGGGGGTCAGCCCCACCATTTGTACAATTTTGAATCCCCACCACCTAGGGATGCTTCCAGTCTAATATGGTTGATATCCATCACTTAGTTCCAGAGAAGAAGTCGCTTAAAGCAATATAGCCAAATAACCCTTTTTGGCCCCGCCCCTCAGCCCCCTGGGGGGTCAGCCCCCCCAATTGTACAATTTTGAATCCCTGCATCCGATGAATGCTTTTGATTAAATATGATTGATATCCAGTGCATAGTTCTACAGAAGAAGTCGTTTAAAGCAATCTAGCCAAATTGCCCCCTTTTTGGCCCCGCCCCTCAGCCCCCTGGGGGGTCAGCCCCCCCAATTGTACAATTTTGAATCCCTGCATCCGATGAATGCTTTTGATTAAATATGATTGATATCCAGTGCATAGTTCTACAGAAGAAGTCGTTTAAAGCAATCTAGCCAAATTGCCCCCTTTTTGGCCCCGCCCCTCACCCCCCTGGGGGGGTCAGCCCCACCATTTGTACAATTTTGAATCTCCACCACCTTGGGATGCTTCCAGTCAAATATGGTTGATATCCATCTCTTAGTTCCAGATAAGAAGTCACTTAAAGCAATATAGCCAATTGCCCCCTTTTTGCCCCACCCCTCAGCCCCCTGGGGGGGTCAGCCCCACCATTTGTACAATTTTGATTCCCCACCACCTAAGGTTGCTTCCAGTCAAATTTAGTTAAATTCCAATCAGTGGTTAAGAAGAAGAAGTCGTTTAAAGAAATTGTTGACGGACGGACGACGGACGAACGGACACGGTATGGCATAAGCTCACCTTGGTCCTTTGGACCAGGTCAGCTAATAAATACTTTATATACCCCAGTTTATATTTGGGGATGAGAGTCAGTGATGGGCAGGAGTCACTTTTTTGTGCCCCCCCCCCCCCCCCTCCCCCTCCAATCTACAAACATGTTTCTCTGGGGCCTATTTGTAACAATCATTTTAACTCTCCACCCAATGGCGTTGAATCAAGTACATTTTAACATTCATACCTTGTACAGTGTGTTTCTGATTATCTCTATGTTCATTTCGTCCAAATCTTGTTCAGATATGCAGTCAATGAAATAAGGAGCTGTAAAAGAAAAAGAAAAAGAGTAAAAATATGATGGAAACAAGTCAGTGAAAATCGACATTTATCTAGACAATTCTTATTCGTTTGTCTAACAAGATGTATCGAAACATGTGATCGGTCAAATTAACAGCATATCAATTGTAAATCTTTGCAAGCTAAGATTAGAATACGAGTTATCTTTTTATTTTCTCTTTTATATAAAGGAATAGGAAAATTAAGCCTTGAAATATGAACTAAAAAATGTAAAAAAAAGTGAAAATTGCAATTTTATTTTACTCTATGCATGCGTAATAGATACAATTTATAAACATAAGTGGATATATTGTATAAGGAACACGTTAATAGCTATATGTTTGTATAAATTCATAATCTTCCTTTCAGTTCTGTTTTTAATAATTTTTGATTTACACAAAAGTTATCCCGACATATGTATTTGAATTGATCACATCTTTACCGAGAGGAGTGTCGACCAGCACAGCGTTGTACAGCTCAGCAGGGGTAGCTGCTATGTGTATGGCCTCCATCTGCTCAAAGCTCCCTAGTGGGTGACACTTGGGTATCAGCTCATTGATTGGTCGCTGGTGGAGTGTCCCAGTAATCAGCAGAATGATATTGTCAATCATGTAACTGTACCTGTAACAGGGAGAGATGTTTTTGTTTAATGTCAATTTAACGACAAATAAAATATACATATGTGGCAAATTGGCGTTAGAGGAAATTTCCCTTTAGCTCAATCTGTAGAGTGTTGGAACTGGGAAGCTGGGGGTTGCGGGTTCGATCCCCGATAGAAGGCAAGCACACTACTCTATTTCCTGTTACACATACATTTCAATTTCCCAAAACATACCTTCAAATTCCATTTTATATGATTATAACTAGTTCACATGTGTTCTTTTTTTTACATCATTTATGCATATGGTCTGCCAAGTATCGGGCATTATGAGGAAAACATTGCTTAGTACTGCAAGCAATCCACATCCCTCCATGCATCTTCAGACAAGCTTCAGAATCAAACATTAATCAATAACTCTAGATCTGTCCTAGTATTCTATCGTCAAATCACATGCAAAAATTGACAAAAAATGTAACAAAGAATAAAAGGACAAAGTGACAAATGGACTATGCTGAGGACAGAGTGCAAAGGTATCTGGTCTCCTCTAGAAGTACATGTGAGGGGGACTAATAAGGATTAAGTGTTATTCGGGACATGAGTTAGGCTGTTTAAACATTTTTTTTTTTAAATTGGTGCCCGATGCAAGCATATTTATGTCTAGTATTTAATTTTACATTTAAGGAATATATGATAAAGTACGTCTGATATATATACATATTACATGTATGCAGCCTAAGTTTGGGGGGGTTGCATTTTTATCTGTTTTTATATGAATGTTACATAGCATCAAAATTAATGCTACTGTTGAATGCAAAAAATGTTGGGCGTTGGCAGAGATGTATAATTGAATCCTCTGTGGTGGTCGGGTGGTGCAGTGGATAACACACTCGCCTTTCAACAAGGTGATAAGGGTTTGATTCCTCAATCGGACATGAACAGGTATGGGGTCACCTGCCCGACCACTTGGGTTTTCTTCAGGTTCTCCCGATTCCTTCAACATTAAGACCCACAGGTGGGCTAACATCCGGGCCAACAAGAGTGATTAATTTAAGTTGAAATAACTTGTTTCGTAATTGTTGTAAAATAATTAAAGTTTATATTTAATACTCTTTATGATTTCATGCAAACTTTATTTTATGTTTAACTCATTCACCCTTGAAGACATATTTGAACTCTTCCAATTCAAAGGTTGGAATAGTTCATTATGAAGTTCCAGGGGTGAATGAGTTAACAGGTTTGAAGACCTGTACATATTGATCCTAAGACACTTACGTAATGTAGTCCAGAAAAGTGGCTAGTGGTTCTAAACAGTGGTTGCGTAGATGCTGGAACTCAATGACTAGTTTTTCCTTGAGTTTGTCATCAATGACGGACACTGTTAGGGGACTAGGCTCATTAGCAAGGAAGTTTCCATAGTCAGTGCTCTGTAAATGAAGCTTCAAATCTGCAAAGGAAATCACAAAGTGTGTTAAATTTTCATTCTAATTCAAAACTTATTCAACTGCACGGCCCAAGTTTCATTAACAGTCCTGATCTAAGAACATTCCTTAAATTCAGATTTTTTCATAGAACATTGCTAAGTCAAGGGGAAAGTTTAAGCTATCGGTAAGGACATTTTCATTAACTCATTCACCCCTGAAATATCATAATGAACTATTCCAACCTTTGAATTGGAAGAGTTCAAATGTGTCTTCAGGGTTGAACGAGTTAACTTCTGAAATATTTTCAAATTGAACTAGTCCTGAAAGACATTAAGCTACACATATATATAATATCAATGATTATGGATTGCTAATGTTGTACCCATTTATTTTTCAAAGCACAGAAATGGAAGATAGACCCAAGGAACACATTCAATGGTACATTGTAACCTTCAATATCAATTAATTAATACACTTACATTGACAAAAAAATAAAGAAGATTTTGAGACCAAATCTCCCCAACTTCATAAAATCTATTTTAATTTATTGTCCAAAGTATCAAACATGTCAACTATCCATTTTTGACAGGTATTTGTTGCTCTAGTCCGAATTATTCTGACGTTGCATAAAGAATAGATATTTTGATCCATGTGCGACATGTGTGTGAAAGTGACGATTTGTAAAATATCAGTTTGAAGAGCGACCCTGGCGCGGGTCGCATATTTCCCGCACATTATAGAGGGCCGGAGTTCTGACGTTAATCAATGCCAGACCGATATTAAAAAGTCTATAAAACGGAGAATAATTCTGACTATTGTTGCTCTTTATAACCTCTATATTTACCACTTGATCTATCTGTAGGCACATCTAGGACTCAGCTTAGTCACCCTTAGAGGACAAAGCCAACATTCTACAGCATATAATGCTAATAATACTACAACTAACATTTAATAACATGTACACCTCTCAGAGAAGTGTGGAAATTGCTCAAGCCTGGACTAATTAACTGCCTTGAATAACCCCTATAGTCCCCCTGTCCCTAGTCATTGGTCGAGTGAACAGGATAATTAAGCTAGTGAGTGTCATTAGTACTAAAATCATGGGTACTTAGATGGTTGTACTTTTGGAATGCATCAGTTCATGATATGTGAATGAAATATTCAAAATTACTTCGATAATTATACAGTAGTATTTCAGTGCATCATGGATCTTAAGAATCGGAATGCAGTGAGTGTAAAGTTTAATATGCTTTAAATTGATCACTCTATCGATTTTAGATATTTAACCCCCTGAGGAAAGTCCAGATGTTGACATATATGACTTGAAGTATTTATTTTCCAACCAGAATGACAGTCTATATAATCTTATAGGATATACTCTAGATGGTATATCACTCTATTTTGACCATCATCCTAGTTTTATTTTTGGATTACAAAATGTATTTGACCCATACAAAATATATATATATAAATATTGTCAGTGTTGTGTTCTTGTTTATGTAAATTTTAAGTATTTCTTCTCACTGTTGTCAGTTTAGCAGTTGTTAAGTTGCAAACATTACTTAAAACTTAACATAATTTTTTCTAAGTCCCTATAGTCAATTACATTTTACGTTTTAGGAAATTTTTGGACTAGTTACATACACGTAGGACTAGCAAATAATATGTTCAACTAGTATTGTGATCTACTATATATACCAAGCACAAATAGTAAGCGTCTAACTTAACCCTAGGCCTAATTATGTCTGCATACGTATACATGCAGAGAGTACCGAAACCCCGGTATATTGATTAAGAACCATTCCAATTGTACTATCTCAATATCTTTTATACGTGTGAATTGATCAAAAGCATGACACAATAATATATCTCCGTGTAAGACTTTGCATCAGATTTAAATAATGAAAATGATGTTACTGAGTCGTTCCGACATTGACAGTTACGGGTAAAGTAAAGAACAGAAGACCTAGACATATTGCAATCCGTCTTACCATCCAGACTTTCACACTGTACAAGATTTAGATAATCCGCTTGTTTTAAGATTCCGCCTTTGAATCCCCTGACCAGACCTTCAAGATAGCCATGGTCTATGTTGAAGTACATCTCTGGCATCATATAAGCCGACATTTTGTTGGTTTTAAAGGTTATCACAAGATTCTTCGGTTGTCAATATTTCACCCGGAAGTACAGATCACATGAGCGATCGACGCGTCATCTGTTATTCAAGGTAGATAAATCGTGGTTGACCAACGAATTAATGATTTTTTTAAAGTCAATATAATCTACGTATATTGAATATACTATTGAAGATGTGACAAAGTTCTTTAACATCAAAAATAAAATGACATTCCAGAAAAAATGTCAAGAGTAGATGCAAGTCATATTAGATCCGGAAAAAAATCAGCCGGATCTGTTCTCTGAAATGCGATAGAGGTTTCCAAAGGGGCGACACACATAGAAAAAATACAAACATGAAACATTTTGTCCCAGTTATCAATAATATTTGCTTGCTAGGTTATAACTTTTTCTCATTCTTTAAAACTGTATATTATAAATATGTTCGATGTTCAAAAAGTACTTTGAAAAAAGTTACCGAGATCGGATTCAGGAAATACGGAAGGCGATTTCCAAATGCGCCCCCGAAATCTCTTCCAAACCATATTTAACACAAATTATCTGATTCGTTGCTTTAGCTTGCATTAGGCCAATGATATATGATGAAACAAACATAGTCACGTGATTATGCAAATGAGAGTTGTGTATAAATCAGCCGGCGAACATGAATGCGACCTCTTTCCTCAAACTAACACACGTGGGCAAAGGACGCGTACAGACCAACTAGCAAAATGCCCTCATACAAAGTCGGTACGTGTATTTATGATGAAGTATGTTATGTCATGCATCAATGTTGACACTATTCAAAAACTCACTTGTCCGTTTATCAAATCAAATTATCATATTTCACACGCATTTCCACTTTATAGGACTTTGCAGCGTTTGCATTTTCACATTGTATGCACAGCAAGTCGCCGCTTCAAAACTAAACGGATCGTCTTAAATTTTGACAGCTTTGCCATGCTATGCAGTGATAACCGGCTGATTGGGGGATATTAAATTATGTGTAGGCGATTACCGTACTGCCTAGAATATTTGACATTTCAATATATATTTTTTATTTTATTTTTTAAATTATAGGAAGTAGTCTACCGCAACACAATGCAATTAAGCACCCTTGCTAAACACCACACCACGATATTCTTTCAAAAATATTCGCATAGTATGATTTTTTTTTTTTAGGCCTGGTCATGCTATGTCTTGGTGTCCCTCTATCATTGATCGGGAAAAAGTCGACCTATTCCTATGGGAACTTAAGTAAATCTCTAATTATAAAGAGTTCCCACAGGAATTAAATTCCTCCCCTCCCCTTTCCTTCCCTCCTTCAGATTAATCATATACATACATGTACACTAATCTAGGCTACCTTCGATTTGTCACTGACTGAACCACTAAGGATCATAAATAGAAAAACCCATCATTATAGCACTTAGTAAAAAAAAGTTAGTTAATTGTGAAAATGGCCTGATCAGTTGTAGATAGTATTTCAGTGTTGTCGTCAATTTCATCTTATAAGTTTATGCACTAACTTGGTTTATGTCTACGTTCAACAGCCATTATGTTTCTTGTTTTTAGCCGACATTGAATTGGCCGATTGGGGCCGTAAATGTATTGAAATTGCCGAGAATGAAATGCCAGGACTGATGCAGATGCGAACAAAATATGGAAAGTCAAAGCCCCTGGCTGGAGCCCGTATCGCAGGCTGCCTCCACATGACAACCCAGACAGCTGTACTCATCGAGACCCTCACAGCCCTCGGCGCAGAGGTAGTGTAGAAATTTGATTCAGCTTAAATGATAGTGAGATATGTAATTATGATCATTTGTTTACTCTTCATGTCGTTGGACCAATACATTTACTACTGTACTTGCTCAGAAATTCTGTTGACACAATCTCATTTACAGCCTTTTAATTATGTTTTGTTGCTTTCCTGAAAACGTATTTTGAACTTTGTAACAAGGTAGGGGAGGGAAGCCATCAATATTCTAAATATTCAATTTTGTCATAAGTCATGGGAAACACCTTCTGTATAGCAAAACAGTCACTTTCGACGAAACATGGTGTGTTTCAAAAGATATGCTGGAAGTTAGCTGCAGAAATGATAGGTTGTCTCCCTTTACACAGATCTTATTTGAGAATTTCGGGAAATGTACCATTTTATGTCAAAGTGTCATATTTATTTTGACAAGTTGTGTTGAAATTGCTCTAGAGTTGAATTACCCAGTAAAGTTGCTTTTCTCATCGCTGAAAAACTCTGCCCTGTGTTGAATTTGCTATTTTTTTGCCCAGGGTAAAATGAAATGTTGGGTGAAGGTGTGAAATTTCCCTTTTTATGTGCAGTGTGCAGTTGAACTTTAATCATGGCTACTTAGGATAAAGGCTCGGTTATCCAGTCAAGATAAGATCATAGGATGTGTTATCAAAGTGGCCCTGATCTTGCTTGGACATGTGTTGTAAACAACACCATATAATCCTATTATCAGTGAGAAAGATGTTCGTTTCACAACTGTTAAGGGGTTAAGGTCAAACCTAGGATCAAGAGGGTGAACAAACATTTACCAAGGTCAAGGTCAGTTATATTTTTACAAATGCATTGTCATCACTCTCAACTATATATGAGGATGTAAATTGCATTACATAATCCTATTATCAGTGTGAAAGATGTTTGTTTCACAACTGTTAAGGGGTTAAGGTCAAACCTCGGATCAAGAGGGTGAACAAACATTTGTCAAGGTCAGTTATTATTTTTAGAAATGCATTGACATCACTCTCAACTATATATGAGGAAGTAAATCTCACTACATAATCCTATTATCAGTGTGAAAGATGTTTGTTTCATAACTTTGGATTAAGAGGGGGGATGAACACTTGCCAAGGTTATGGTCCGTTACTATTTTAAGAAATACATTGCCAGCACTATATTTGAGAAAGTTTATTTCACTACATAAAAGCTAATATCCTTATGAAATTTGATTCTCAACTGGTACATATCTTCGAGGGGGGAGGGGGGGGCACTTATTATATTTAGCTTGCCTGGTCTAAAGTACTGGGATGAGCTTTTGCCATTCAATTGTAAGCAGAGGGTGCGTGCGCTCCCCCTCCCCCTCCCCTCCCCCTCCCCAGTATGGGAAATTTAGGTAAATAGTCATCCTTCTGCAGTAAGAATGGAAGGATAAAGTTAAGTCCATATTCTGTATGAAGAGAGGAATTTTCAACCAAATCAGCAGGGCAGAGCCTAGGGGAAGTCTAGGTGAATTTTGAAAAACCTTATTCTATATATGAATGGAGGGATTGGAACCAAATTTGGTGTAGAGCATCCTTATGCATAGGGGACTCAATTTTGTATTAAATATATATATAATAAAAAAAAAATGAAAATAAATTGGGGTCCCAATGGGCAGAGGAGCGGGACCCAATAGAGGCAACACTAACAAAGTGTTTAAAATCTTTCTACCATACAAATGGAGGAATTTCAACTAAATTTGGCCGAAACTATGCTAGGGCAAAGTATAAACAGAGGGTGTTGGCTCCCTTGGGGGGAGGTGGGGCCATTAGGGGAATATTGATATATATGTTGCTTTTTCTGTATTAGTCGAGGGATTTTGACCAAATCTGGTGCAGAACATCCTTGGGCAAAAGGGACTCAATTTTATTTTAAACAAATTGTATGGTCCCCCTTGGGGGCAAAGAGTGTGGCCCAATAAGGTGTAAATAGTGGTAAATCTTCAAATACTTTTTGTTCCATACAAAAGAAGGGACCTAAACAAAATTTGATATGGAGTATCCTTTGCCCAGTAGGATTCCATGTTGCTCACGGGTGCTCAATTCGGCAACATCAAAATGACCCATTCATCTCAAGCTGGCAGTTAAAATGATATCCACTTCTTGGTTTTGGACTTTTGCTTGCTTGCTGCTTAGTTATAATATAGTTGAACATTCTGAGATTGGACTTTGGACTTTCGACCTGTCTACAGATTAGTTTAATGCAAAACCTGTTTTCACCTATTTTTGTGGTTTTGTCTTTGAACAGGTTCAATGGAGTAGCTGTAACATCTTCTCGACCCAGGACTTTGCTGCGGCCGCCATTGCCAAGACCGGAGTTCCTGTGTATGCATGGAAGGGCGAGACCGATGAGGAGTACATGTGGTGTATTGAACAGGTTCGTAAAATTGTATCCCACCTAACCCCACCCCAAAAAAAGGGGGGAGGGGGATGTTATTTTTAAATACATCCAACCTCTTTCAATATTTTTACATAAATAATCTGAAATTTTTCGAAAACTTTCTGCTTCATTTTTAATTCATCTGAATACATGTTTGAAAAGGAGTTCAATACATCTCTTCTAGGTGAATTATTATCTGGATATAAAACCGATTTTAGTTGAGATTAAATACAGGATAATCCTTTTTATCTCAATCTGTCATTATGGAAAAGTCGGGAAGTATGTCCCAAAAAGGAACTTTTTTTAGTGTAATGGACTGTAAAAGCACAAATTAGGATTTTACCAAGTTTTTTTAACCATAGGAATTTGATGTTTTGTCGAGGAAGTCCATGGTGTGCTCAAGCATTTTAACTTAACACATTGTAATATTTAGGAACTGGAGTTTCTGTTTGGTATGATGAACATGTTATTCTGACATAGTGTTTCATAAGTTGCTATATTTTGACTTTGTTGATGACTATTACAGACTCTGGTGTTTGCTGATGGCAAGCCCCTAAACATGATCCTTGATGATGGCGGTGATCTTACCAATCTCATCCACGAACGCTTTCCCGAGTACCTCAAGGGTAAGAAGAACAGTCCGGGCTAGAAATAAATTAAAAAACTCACTGGGCTAGTGATTTACAATTTTAGCAGTTCGTATGCAAAATCCCCGAAACCCAATATTTTCAACATGATCAATAATATTGACTAGTTGATCGGGCAAGCACTTTTCAGAAACACTAGTCGAGCTTTAGATTTCACTAGTTTCAGACTATCGGGCTACCATTGTTGACAAGTAGCCTCGAGTCGTGATGAACATATAAAAATAATTTTAAAAAAAATCAAATCTGTGAAACTAATGAATTGATGGGGGGGGGATTTGAAAAGGTGATTGATCACAAGAGTGGGGAAATTATGGACATTCTATTTCAAAGCTTCTGATTCAATACTTTTATATCTTTGTTTGAAAACTATTTTCTTCCAACAAGAGAAACCACAAGTTGAATTATACTGATTTTATCAGATATTAGGGGATTGTCCGAGGAGACGACCACAGGTGTACACAATCTCTACAGAATGATGAAAAACGGAAAACTGAAGGTCCCAGCCATCAACGTCAACGATTCGGTAACCAAGGTAAACAAATTTAAGTTTATACTAAACATTTAATGTTATCAAAATTTAATGTCTTGGCAGACGTCCTGATGAAAGTTATTTTGTAGTAATTACTCAATATGCTATATGGCTTTAAAAATTAATTCTTGATTCTCTCAAAATATTTCCAGATGACATCGGATTCTGGTTTTTGATATATATTTTTTTGAATGTTGATTGCTTTAGATCTTGTTATAACTCCAAAGTCCAGCTGATTTAATAAAGACATGGGTTGTGAAATCCGTTGAATAGCCATAGAGTAATTGCTAAAAGTTGGGTACAAACAAAATAGGTAAAACGTGTTCAAAACAAAACAAACACAAGTTTGGTACATGGCATGCCAAGGGACACAATTGTATCTCGGTGTGGTAGCAATTTTTAAAGGTACAAGTAAATAAGTAAGTTGTCTGCTTTGTGGCATGTAGAATAGATACAAATGTCATTGAATACAAAAAAAACTCGGTGAATTTAGGAAATTCTACAAAACATTAACATTCCGATTTTATCTGGAAAGATTTTAAGGGTTTATTCCAGTTATGAATACATTGGCCTAAATTAATAATTAGCATTACTATTGTGTGTCCCAGGGGGAAAAAATGGTTCTGGTGGGATGATATGAAGGTGCCCTCTCCCATCTTTTTCTGGACATAATTTAGCCCTAAATGAGATAATTACAGGCGAGTGCTTCAGTTTTCTAATGGAGCTTGATCTATGACATTGTCGTACACAGAGCAAGTTTGACAACCTGTATGGATGTCGTGAATCTCTCGTCGATGGCATTAAGCGTGCAACAGATGTCATGTTGGCTGGTAAAGTCGCCATGGTCGCTGGTTACGGAGATGTTGGCAAAGGATCTGCCCATGCCCTCCGAGCCTTCGGTGCCCGTGTGCTGATTACAGAAATCGATCCCATCAACGCTCTCCAGGCTGCAATGGAAGGTAATTCAGATACAGAAAAGGATTTTATATTGCATGCTCACATTCAATTCAAAGTTGTTGTTTTTGTATTTATTGAGGAAGTGCTAATTTGCATAATGTTGAATTTAAGAGTTGGCATTCATTAGTCGCCCATGAGAACAACAAGCAATTTGTCCGTCAGTCTGTATGTCTCGAATGGTTTGGAGCATGTCTTGTATATTCTGCTATTTGCCAAATATTGTATGCAATTACTTCTGTAGATGGTGAAGTGTCGCATACCAAAATCTGATATTGTGCCCTACTATATGAAAAGTTGTGACCTTTTTTGTTCATTGTGTCACTTTTATGGGGGGGGGGGGGGGGACATATATGAAAAGTCGCCTACAAAGGCCAATTGTCTTATTGCTAGTCGCTCTATCAAGACGATGGAGTGAAGCATACTGAATTCAGGCTGGAGTGAAGCACACTGAATTCAGTCTTTTACCCCAATATACATGCTGAGTTATGGCCCTTTGTTAATATTTTGCACCAAAGTCGTCTGGAAATGTGGATTAAATCAAAAGCTAATGGAAAAGAAATATTGCACCATAGTTTTTAATTGGTCAATTTAGTTTCTGTAAAAGTAACACTCCTGCAATGATTAATTTGCCAAATTTTACAGCTTGAAAAAAGGCTACTTCCCCTGGCTAAGAAGTGCTCCTTTTTCCTTAAATGAAGAAAAATATTGGAATATCTTCTGAATTTCAATGAAAATAATGCTATTTTTTCCCAATTCATGTTGGAACAGGCTGTTGTAGAACGTCAATTGAAAACTCACTGCAAAAATATCATTCTACCATCTTTTTGTGGAGTTTTTATTTTGAAAAAATAGGCCACAAGTTTACTGCTAAAATATTTAGTCGTATAACAACTTGATCAAAGAAAAAATTCTGTCTCCAGTAAGTGGAAAGATATCAAATCAAGTATGGCTTCAAAATAAGAAATTGGTTGAACTAGGAAATTTTATATATTTTGGATGGTAAAATCCTCAATCGGGTGACTAAACTCCAAATGTGTTCTTTTCAGGATTTGAAGTTACAACTGTAGAGGAAGCCCTGAAGAAGGCCAGGATCTTTGTCACCGCTACTGGCTGTAAGGATATCATACATGGTGAAATGTTCGAACAGATGCTGGAGGACGCTATCGTATGCAATATTGGACATTTTGACTGTGAACTTGATGTCAAATGGCTGAACGACAACTGTGCCAAAAAAGAACAAATTAAACCTCAGGTATGTCACCAGATGGGAGCTATTCGGGAAAAACGTTGTTTCAAGTGAGCAATATTTGACAACTTTATCACTTCTGTTGCATGAAAATATCCTATGGGAGCCTGTGGTGGCCAAGTGGTCGAGGCGTCTGACATTGCTACCACTAGCCCTCCACCACTGGGTCACAGGCAGTCGCCAGGTATTGGCTGTAGGTCGGTGGTTTTTCCCCGGAAACTCAGCTTTCCTCCACCACCAAACCAAAACCTGCCACGTCCTTAAATGACCATAGCTGTTAATAGGAAGCAAAACGCAAACAAACAATATGTTATGGGTGTTTGTTAAATGTAATGCAGAAGTATGATTTTGCTATACAACGTTACATTTTCCCCAGACAAGTGTGCATTGCATGTGGTTTTGCATTGTAGTACAATTGAATATTTTGTTTGGGTTTTGTTCATACCATTTGGCACTTTACAACAAAATTTCAGTTGTGAAAATCACCATTATCTGCTGAAGAATTTAACAGACAAAATCACCGATATTTCATCAAATGGTGTTAGATTTGTATTTTAAACCTGAATTATGAATGTTTACATGCCATTTTGTGGACATTCAAGAAATAATTGAGTAGTCTTAAAAAGTAAATACTACTTGCTTCAGAAAAAGCATTGAATATGCAGCTGTTAGAAAAAAAGGGGAAAAATGTACTTGGGGGGGGGGGGGGGGAAATTAATTGATCTAGACTTGCCTTTTAACCCTTTCACCACTGTAGACCAAAATGGACTCATCCAGATCAATGCATGGAATAGTCTACTAAAGTCATGTAGGGGTGAAAGGGTTAAACATCTTTCGAGGAATGTGAACTATATGAACTTTTAAATTTATTTTACAAATGCCAATATTTATGACGTCATAATGACTGATTGACAGGTTGACCGATACACACTAAAAAGTGGCCGCCACATCATCCTTCTGGCCGAGGGGCGTCTCGTGAATCTCGGATGTGCCCATGGCCATCCCAGTTTTGTCATGTCAAACTCCTTCACAAACCAGGTTCTCGCCCAGATCGAACTGTGGACCAAGCAATCGGACTACAAAGTTGGTGTCCACCTCCTACCAAAGTCTGTAAGTATTCTAGAAGTATTGGATTGTCACCTTCACTTTGTCATAACTTAAGGATCCCTCTCCCACTGCAATATGTTTTTTTCCTATATACAGTAGTCTCCCCTTAACTGCCGTTTGGGTATTAAAATATATAACTGTAGAAAAGTTCAGGCAGAACACTTCTGATGACCAGGTAGCTCAATCTGTTACAGAGATCATATAACAATCTGAAGTCCGAGGTTCAAATCCCGGTCTAGCCTGAATACATTTTACACTCGCAACATTATCATTAATTATATTTGGTGTATTTCATCTTAATTTTTTTTTGATAAAAGTTACGTAAGTTATGGATTTCTTTTTAGAAATGATTTATCAAAACTGATGTCTTGCCTGAAAAAGACTATTTCTATATAATATATATACTGGTAGCTGTTTATATTTATCTATAATAATTATTGGTATTTTAACTAAAATTTCTTACAAAAACAAATTATATGGTTTTGCAGCTTGACGAACAAGTAGCTGCTGCTCATCTTGAACACTTGGGAGTGAAACTGACCAAGCTGTCATCTGACCAGTCAGAGTATCTTGGAATCCCACAGGAAGGTCCTTTCAAGCCAGAAATCTACAGATACTAAAATGTGTCCGGAGAACCAACAAAGACTGGGGGGAAATGTCGGGTAGAATTTGGTGTGGTGCAGACTTTGACTCCATGCTCATCGTAGGGCTTGCCAGGCCTTGTGTTCCTATTGGCCACATTTGACCAATCAAGAACAGAGAAAGAGCTTGTATCTAATTTGGTACCATAGGAATAGCTAGGTTCTAGACAAATGAAAAAGTGCAACTCCTGTTAATCAGATGTACGAGATAGACAACAAGTATCGAGGACAGTTTGATATCGCGATGAAATCTTTTATGGTTATCATACAGTAATTGTCAATTCAGAAATCCAATTTCATTGTGTATGTTTGTTGGTAATGTTATTTCTTACAGATTTTGTGTTTCTGAATTTCCAATGTCGGCTTGTTAAAGGAGCTGAACTCTGTCGTGGTACAAACATCCACACTCCATACAAGTAAACGAGTCCATTTGGAATTGTTCTTTGCTGGAAACAATTGTTTTTGTAAAAAACACATGTTGAAGAATATATTTTAAACAGATTTGTTTGCTATCGTGTCACTATCATGAAAAATGATGATAAAAAAATAAAAATATGAACAGAATTTTGAGCTTTCTTTTAATATATCACTGTTCCATGTAATGTGGTCTCCTGGATCGGTGTACCATGGAACAAAATAACAATGGGCTTTAGTTTTAACATCACTAGTAGTAGTATTAAGGTGATCCGTTGTGATGGTTTTGACTTCTCAAAATTCACAGGTCATATTAGCAAGTGGTAGGGATCAAAATTGAATCAAGAAGAGGCTCAGAGTTGGGACCATAAGAGAAAAAAATAAGAATATGTAATTTTGCTGTTGATTTGTGTCCCTTTGACCGATTTTATATTACAACTTAAGTGGACATTTTTTAAGTTGATTTTAGCATATGGATTAAGTTGTAGATACATCCATTTACTACACGTACATTTTAAAAGTGTGTGAACATGATAATTTGAACTTTATTCCAAAGTTGTTTGAATTTTTTTTATCTATTTTAAAATGATAGATGGACAGCCTTTCTTACAACTGTCAACTAATCATAGGTTAACACAAAAAAAGACATTAAATGCCCTCTTTCTTTCAACATACTGTATTTTACCTGATAAGGGTGCGGTAACCCTTTTTCTGGAAAAGAAACCAACAGGGCACTGGGTTACGACAAAGGCATAATGTAGTATATATACGTCTCTGGTTACACCCAGTCGTCTTTAATATTTTCAGAAAAATAATTAACAATTCCTGAAAGCATTATCTATGTTGCCGAATTCAAAAAGAAAAAAGAAAAGTTGTAATGGCTTCCGTTTTAGCAAATGTATAATGTTAAAATCTGTTTAATAGTTAAATGTGAAAAAAATATTGCGCATGGTATAATTATGTTCAATTTGATACAAGAGTTATGGCCCCTTAACACATTTGACTATAAATGGTTAACCAAACCGGTATCGATAATGTTAATATACATAGTTATTCTAAGCCTACATCAAACAGAACACCCCGTCGTAGTAAAGATATTTATATTCTGCCATTTTTCAACTTGAAGAATCAATACTTTGTATGCTTTTTAGCTCCCCTATTCGCCGGCGTCCCACCTTCGGAGGTTAAAGTTTTTGGGCAAGTTTTTTCCAGACAGTATTGGATCATCACACTCAATACACAGTTGTCTATTATGAGTTTGAATCATTTAAATCGAGTGTAAGCAGTGTGCTGGACCGTATTTAAGGGGCCAAAACAGCTTAATTGGACTGTGTTAAATTTGAGGTTAAAGTTTTTGGGCAAGTTTTTTCCAGACAGTGTTGGATCATCACACTCAATTCACAGTTGTCTATAATGAGTTTAAGTCACTTATATCATGTGTAAGCAATATATGTGCTGGACCATATTTTCATATTTTATTGGCCAAAAACAGCTTAATTTAACTTAGTTAAATTTGAGGTTCAAGTTTTTGGGCAAGTTTTTTTGTGAAGTGTTGGACAACCACCATCAATAGGCTGTTGTCTATTATAAAGTTGAAGCATTTACAAATGTATATGGAGTGTTAGCAATGTTCTGGACAATATTTTCATATTTAGGGGCCAAAAACGGCTTCTTTGGACTTGATTAATGTTTTTGGGTAAGCTTGAGGTTAAAGTTTTCGGGCAAGTTTTGTTGGGTAGTGTTGGACCACCACCATCAATAGGCTGTTGTCTATATGATAAGGTTGAAGTATTTGTATTGAGTGTAAGCAATGTGTTAAACCATATTTTCATATTTAGCGTCCAAAAACAGCTTTATTGGACTTTGTTAATGTTTCTACACAATTAACAGTCTTTGAAATATCCTGGTGGTAAGTGAGGTGGCAAATAAAACGACAGGCACTATATCAACGTTTTACTATACATGTGTTTCTATTGATAGTTGCAGTATTATAATAACATACATAGGCGAGCTATGCTATTCTCCGACAGCTCTTATTACGAGATTTCATACGGTCGTCGATATAATCAGAGACGTACATTATATATCGTAATATAATAATAATAATGATAATATACAACATTTGATATAGCGCCCTATCTATAAGCCACTCTAAAGCGCTTTACAGTACATAGATATACAATTAATACAATTAGGATATACAATGCTACTAGTCCTATGCCACCTAGCTAATATCTCCCTATGTGTGTATGCCTGCGTGTGTGCTGGAGATGTATTGTGTTCTGTTTGTAGTTGGACCGTGCTTCCAACGGTATCTTTTATAGTGCCGCCTCACTTGAATGCTACATCACAGATACCGCAACATCCACCCAAGACCATTTTATAATCCACATGGGTTGTTGGAGTTGTGTGGGCAGGAGAAAAACACTTTCTCTGATATTCCATGCGTGCGACGACTTCGGGGATAGAACCCCGGCCGCCTGCGTGGAAGGCCGAAGTGTTAACCACTCAACTAATCCGCCCATACTATATGTACGTCTCGGGTATAAACAGTTTATGGTTTGGTTTAGAATAAAAGATCATATTCAGGCGTTGTACCAGTGATTTATTTTTCCTCACAAAAACACCTCTGAAACTCAGATTAATTACCGAATTATAATTCGTATATTCAGTTTTTGTCTATTGACAATCGCGAAACTTACCCCCCTCCCTCTCTCTCTTCCTTCTTATCTCCATATAGTTTAGTCCAGGAGTCCCAACGCTTTGTGTTAAACCTCCAATGAGGAAGAGTTTCAATTCTAAATCATAATGTACTAGAGTTGCTTGCCAATGTAATATACCAGAGTGTTATGTACGAAAGGAAAATATTTGCTTTAAAAAACTTTTTTTTAACAAAAACATCTCTATATAGAAGCGAACCCCAGAACCTCTTGGTTATACAATAGGAGCCTATATTAATATTCACTGCATTACCGATCATGCTACTTTTTACGTTAGTTCTTTACCGCAACCAATGATTGTCTTTGTTTTAAAAGATGAAGGAGTAAACTCTTTGTTTGGTGTTCCGCATCCATTTACTCAGTTTTAAAATAGGTGTTTTGTGACTTTGTATTCCTAGTAATTATTTTACAGACAAAAGGTGATTTGACTGTCTTGGTGGATACTTGAAGGAGTCCCGGAGGTCGGCCGCTACAGTGTAAAGATTTATTCTGGCACAATTTGCATATAATAGCAGGTCAAGAATCAAGAATTGTAACGGTATAAATGGTTTTTGGACATCTTTTTCCATTAGCTGTATTTTTACATAATGTTTCGGAACACTTTAGACATGTTTTCATTCTTTTGAACATCCTCGATATCCAGGGGTAACGCTCATTTTAGTCTCTGCACCTTTGGAATATGTCATAGCAAAATCGAAGACGCATTGTGCACTACCTCGTGGATGAGACAAGAAGACTAGTTTGGCCCTGTGACGTACATCAAAAGAATCTGTCAGTCGCGTAACGGTAAAATTGACAAGCTTTGGAGTCGGGTGTCACTCCACTGTACTCTTCACATGACGGGTATCCTTGCGATTTGGTCAGGTTTATGTTTACCCGAGACCATTTAAATAGGTAACTGGATGCACGTGCCGTCAATTTGCTACGCCATATCAGTCCAGGGGTGCAGAGAGTGAAAGGGAGCGTAACCCCTTGAGTATTGAGAATATTATTACTTTCCCGCGTTTCGGAGAATAGTGGGAAACATTTGTCCTATATACACCGAGTATACGAGGGCAGTTGCCTTTTTCGTGCGGGGGTTTTGACCAATCAGATTGAGACACATGCTAAGGGTAGTTTATGGGTACGTGTATGATCATTCTAGCTTCGCACTTCGCTCGGCGTAGTTCAGTTTGAAATAAAATTATAGCAGAATTTTATGTTTATGTAACAGATGTATGTGTGGGCATCGTCATATGTAAGAAATCCCAGCATCAATTTTGTCAAAAACCTTCAGTTTTGTCGGGCTGGTACACCTCCTGTCGCGCCTAATAAGGGTTTCAGGTTGGGTGGCGCGCTTGGTTTTACATTTGGATGGCGATGAACCATGCGAGGGTATATGTGGGAGGATTGTTTGTGTGTACGGTAAATGAAGTCGAAGTAGATTTTTTGCTATCGGTCGAGCAGCTTTTTGCTATTTAGGTGTTGTGTTATGTTTGCCTTGGTACGCATAAGGAGTATAGAGAGGACCTATTAGTATCACTGACGAGTCCCAAATTGACAGTGATTATTACCTATTTAACTGATATTAGAAGTCTTATTTCAACACAATAAACAGAATAGTAAGTACAGATGGATATACATGTACAGTGTATACACTACTGATTTGAGTTGTGATATTTATGAAGTGTTGAACCGGAAGTTAGACGGATATGGCGCGTGCTGGGCGGATAAGGGTTGGTCCGAGATATGACCTATGCACAGCTAGCAGGACTGTACCACACATGTAAGACAACCAATATCACGGACAAGTATATGATAAAATTAGTTCCCAACGTCTGTATATAATAGAAAAAAAGTGGCGGGACTCTCCATCTTAAAAAGAAAACAAAAATGTAGTTGGTCATTAATTGTATCTTTTACGGGTTCACATCCTGGTAAATAGACCGTCGGTGAAACAATAGAAGTAAGTACATGTGAAAATTAATTATTGACGTTGCCCAGGTTGTAAACCCTCGCTTAGTATTTTACATGTCAACATGATGTATCTTTCCTGAAATCGTTACACGTCAGTAAAACATGCTCTGGAATAGTGAATCAACACTGACTTGTAAGCTTCATAAACAGGGAGGCTGGTATTATGGTTCGAGTGAGAAAAGGAAAGTTTATTGTATAATTCGATGAACATAAACCACAATACAACCTTTTTTTAGGGAAAGATATTTAAATACGCTTGGGATCGAAATGTCAACGCTTTAATGTAATGCAATTACTTGTGTAATCAGCACAGTTATATTATTAACTTTAAAAATAGGCGAAACGTCCAGGGCCGAGGGACACATGTAATATACAATTTCATCAAATCTTTGTACAGGTAAAAACTACAAATCGCTCACTCGGTCATAGCTTGACAAAGGGACCAGTCGGTTTTGAAACATTTCGACACGTTTG